TGAAGCGTGAAAATTGAGTTTCATGATGTGTGGTCTTTAGATGATTAGGTAATTGATTCGTAATATTCGCGTTTAACAACTCTTCAGTTGACAACGACTGTTGTTTTGATGTCCTCGGAAATGGGGGAAAGAATGGGCTACAAAGCCAGCCTCGCGAAGTTCTCTTGATTTGTCTTGTACTGAGACCCTTGCGTGGAACACTATTTTGACAGGCACATCAAAGCGACCTAAAACAAATTGCAAGCCTAATTTTGCATTTTGATTTTGATCTGACTGAACTAATATGTGTAAAGAGAATAAAAACATCATTTGCAATGTCTTCTCGCAAAGGACCTACTATCATTTCGTTTTAGTTCAAAATTCACATTGAATCAGGAAACAAGGGCTTGGGGAACATAATTGTTACAACGCCAATCTATCATCATAGTAGTCTCATTTGGTGAATATATATATATATATATATATATATATATATATATATATATATATATATATATATATATATATATATATTACATACACAAACTAATAAGGGGAAACTGGGGGGAAAGTATATAAATGATAGGGGCATGATAAATGGGAAAACAGAACAACACCGTCGAAAAAAAGACGATGTTGCAATTATTCATCTGCAGTGTAACATCACGCGTGTATATATATATATATATATATATATATATATATATATATATATATATATATATATATATATATATATATCATAAAAGTGATGATCCTGTTGCAAAGCATTTAAATACGAACACAAAATTTTTATTGTATGTAATTATTTAGCGAAAGGTAATGATGGAGTGTAAAATTATGTACAAGTTGGCAGAATAGTCATTCTGGTTCAAACTTTAAACCCTGCTTAATCAGGAATAACTTCTCATTGTGAAGTGTATTGACATTACCTGCGAAAGTGATATCTATGACATATTATGTTTTTGACGCTAGATAGCTTATGCGACATCATAGTCCAGTTGTTTAAATTCGTAATCCACGGAAAAACGAAGTAATCCAATATATGGAAATTCAGAAAGATATCTTTTTATTGTGCGGGATAACACTACTTTTTGCACTTGCTAGATTATACAGGACGGCCAGTGTATTAGGCGGAGAAAGAATCAGGTACGAACTATCAACTTTCGGGAAGTTGCTGGTATTCTCTCTCACATATTCTCATCGTTCAAATCGGGAATCGTTCTCACACGAACAGAGTTGTACACTGTAAGTGATCTGTAAGAGATCGCCTGGGACCACCTGGGACCCCAATACTCTGTTCATATTTCCATGCAGAGTAGATCAATTGTCAAATCAGAAATATCATGTAAAGAGTGATTTTTGTGGGTATTGCAATATTATAGGAGAACCGACGATCCATTCCATTTTATATGAAAAAGGTGATTAATCGTTCTCTTAGAATCTTGTTACATTTTTTCATAGTTAATCAAACAAATCGCATCAGTCGATATGCAGTCCGTGCTATAAGAATTCTTTGTATTGGATCTACAACAATATGTACTTTCTGTGATATTTGTATCTTGAGAGCATAGACGTATGTTAAATGAAGATAAGGGGTGTTAAACTACCCTGAGGGCCGCATGAGGTTATTTTCGATGTCCCATTGGCCGCACCACTTTCGTTATCTCTCATGACACTTTGTGACGCCAATCATTTTGCAGGCCAGTTCTTGCAACGTAACGGTTAACGTGACATTGGACGTTCGTTAGGTTGGGTTGAATACTACTAGGACACGTCTCACAAAAATTAAGTTCATATTTCATGATGATTGTACCGATATGGCTCTTTGATAATGTTCTACTTTCACTTTCCTAATTATGCTATATATGCCAATGTCCAATTCGCTCTATCAAAAGTTGCGATATTCGTTCGTGTAACTGCCGTTGCGTACTAAGGGTAAATGGCTCCATGAGTCGACGATGATGGCCCAATGATGTTTTTGTGCCCCAAGATCTGTGTGCTTTTGGAGCCACGAAACCTCTGGCGTACGGGGCATCCGGCCCCCTCCCCCACAGTACACTATTGCATAATTGTTGATTACTTTCAAGCATAAAATCCATCTACCATTTACGGAGACGATTTGGCTGGGTGGAGGTATGACTATATACCTAAATTAGGTAATATCAAAGGTTCAACCATTTTCTTATTTACATCGATATATGTCTCATAGTAGTTTGTGATGCTCTTCAAGTGCATATATAACACGGCAGTAATGGAATCTTGTGCGAATATTATAATATCAATTCTGGTATATGTGTAATTATTTTTTCCAAGTCTGGCAAATCCAATTAAAAAACATTGGACTCGTCGGTGGAATCGTTTTTCATTTGTTCAGTCGTTATCTCTAAAAATGTTGCATATCATAATAAAAACATTGGACCTCTCCGTAGAATGGTTTTCCATTTGTACAGTCGTGTCTTACTTAATCTTTTGCTACTTAGTATGTAACAAGGTATGACTTTTGTGAGAATAAATAAGATTATTATAACCTTCATTAGTAATCTAATATTATCATTTCAGTAATTCGCTTAAGGTTGTGCTAGGCAGAAGGTTCGCTACTTTGTAACTAACACGCCATGATCTCTCTGAGAGTAAATAATATCACTTTTACCTTTATCAGCGATTTAAACATTAGCATCCGTACCTAAGACAATTTAAAGCCAAACAGATGAATTGACTGTTAAACTTACATCTTTCTCATCTTGTGGCATCAAGTGCAGCTGCAGACAATAATCTAGTCCGTCCTTTTTATAAGTGGAATCACTTATTCATTAGGATTTATAAATTTGACATGCCGCAATCACTGTTAAAGATAAGGGATGGTTATTGCCAGTTTGTATCGCACTAAGTGTTCTAAATGTGGCACATGTTTGATTTAGTTGGGTTGAAACGTTTCGAAAAGATTTAGATTTCAGGAATATGCACCTTAATAATACACATTTTGTTCTTTTGGATGAAAATACGATTTAGTTATAAGGAAGCGTTTACTTTTTTGGTGTACATTGAGTTTTGAGTGTATAGATATAAGGTCGTACCGCACAGCTGTTCACTACGTTTCTTGGATTATAATCAAAATGCAAAGTACTCTTTCTACCCTACCAGTCCATCCTGTAATATCTTCAATGGCATGACACGGCGTTTAAATTGCAGACAAACAATAAAAAACTCAATCACACCTTGAAATGAAAGTAAAATTTCATAATAAGCTTTATAATACCTTTAAGGAATCATTTGCTCAAGTTCATGAAGCGAATTTTAATCATGACTGAAAAATTAAACTTGGGAATCTTATAGTCAAGAACAAGTCATCCGAGTCTAGTCAAAAAAAAATCATTATAGTCTAGTCAAGAACAAGTCATCATAGTCTAGTCAAAAACAAATCATTATAGTCTAGTCAAAAAAACTCATCATTGTCTAGTCAAGAACAAGTCATTCTAGTCAAGAACAAATCATCCTTGTCTAGTCAAGAACAAGTCATCCTTGTCTAGTCAAGAATAAGTCATCCTTGTCTAATGAAGAATAAGTCATCATTGTTTAGTCAAGAACAAGTCATCCTAGTCTAGTCTAGAACAAATCATCTTTGTCTAATCAAGAACAAGTCATCATAGTCTAGTCAAGAACAAGTCATCATAGTCTAATCAGGAAAAAGTCATCCTTATCTAGTCAAGAACAAGTCATCCTTGTCTAGTCAAGAATAAGTCATCCTTGTCTAATGAAGAATAAGTCATCCTTATCTAGTCAAGAACAAGTCATCCTAGTCTAGTCAAGAACAAATCATCCTTGTCTAGTCAAGAAAAAACTATCCTTGTTTAGTCAAGAACAAGTCATCCTTGTCTAGTCAAGAACAAGTCATCCTATACTAGTCATGAACAAGTCATCCTTGTCTAGGCAAGAACAATTCTTCGTTACCTAGTCAATAACAAGTCATCCTAGTCTAGTGAAGAACAAGTCATCCTAGTCTAGTGAAGGACAAGTCATCCTAGTCTAGTCAAGAACAAGTCAACCTTGTCTAGTCAAGAACAAGCCATCATAGTCCAGTCAAGAACAAGTCATCGTTGTCTAGTTAAGAATAATTCATCCTTGTCTAGTCAAGAATAAGTCATCCTTGTCAAGTCAAGAACAAGTTATCCTAGTATAGTCTAGAACAAGTCATCCTAATGTAGTCAAGAACAAGTCATCATAGTCTAGTAAAAATAAGTCATCCTTATTTAGTCAAGAATAAGTCATCCTAGCCGCAGTAAGGGGAGATGGATGGCTATCACATATTTGAATGAACGCAATATAAACAAATGATATATATCCACGAAAACAAGATATTTATATTTATGTCTGTATGTATGTGGTTGCTCTTTCGCGTCTCGGACGACAGTGAGTGGTCAGAATCATTTCCATTCACTATTGTAGCCAAACATGGTTTATTGTGTAACACCATTGAAACCAAGTACGTATGGAGTAAGTGAGAATACCAAACGTGAATGAGATGTATATGATAATAAAGTATAACTCCATTTAACTGTATCCTTTAATAAGAACATTCTAAAGAGCAAACTGACGGCTAGAGTACTCCGTATGTGAAATATAGTATAATTTACCGAAAGTATATGAAGAATTAAATCTGAAACGTACATATTTATGAAGATTAAATGAATTGGAAATTGAATATAGTAACAGTAGAAAGCAAATCCTTGATAACCTGTACGACTGTAGCGTAATGATGGTAAAGGAAACCTCTATGGCTGAATTAAGTTGTATGTAAATTAGGCCCGTGCTTCTTCGTAAGGCTGTAGGAAACTCTCTATAAAATAAATTTGAGAATACCCAAATGACTTGTAAAATGTAAAGCAAACTAATGCTTACCACTAGATCGGTAGCAAACTCATGCAGGCATTGTCTGGCAAGATCTCCAATAAACACAAGAACACAATTGCTATACAATTGAACTAACAATGCATATCAGCAAAGAGATGCAAATATCATTCGACATTTTGGATAGCTCGGTAAGTGGTTAGAGCTTCCGCCATGGATGCAGAAGGGCGCGGGTTCAAGCCATGCCAAAGTCATACCAGAGACTAATTAAACTCATACTATCAATCGCTAAAATCCCTAGGAACTCAACATCAAGAGGTTATTGTTAGGACTGGTCTGCCTGGAGTCAGGATAATGTGGCTGGCTGGGACATGATGCAACATGTCTGCATAGCGTCTGGATAATATGGCTAGCTGGAACATGATACCACGTGTCTGCGGCATGATGACCCGGCTTAGACATCACTATAAATTATGACTGAAATAAATTAAATCTACGTTAAAACATCTGAATCACAAATAACATTTCTCGACATTTTGATAAGTAAAGGGGAACTAAAATTGCTCTAGATAACGCTGTACACGTCCATAAAATTCACTACATATAATCGTTCTAATGAATTATCAAGCTATTGTCTTGCACTCTACCATGACAACGATTATGACACAATCCGATTCAGCATGATGTTCCCCTTGCCATGATTCTAGACACTAGGATCAACTGGTGACAATTTGTTCATCTTGAGTAGATCACCGGCGAAGATAAAGTTAAAAGAGTTGACTAGTCCTATTTTCTGATGACTGTTACTAGGGTACTAAATAGGAGTGTGACATCCACACAATATGAACCATTTCGTTTTAGCTTATGACAGTTTTAATCTCACAGTCAGTATCAAGATGACATAGGTGATGCACTATTCTGCACCGGAAGAGCTTTAAATAGAGCCCGCTGTCACAGCCAAACCGTTCAGGTAGCAGATAAGTTCAACTACACTACCTTGGTAGTATACTGTTGCCTGCAGCTTTCTTCATCGATGAAGAAGCCAATCCAGAATTGCGAAAGCAAGCATGGTCTTTTGCAAATTATATGCAATAGTGTGAGTTGAAGGAGGTGTCGGTATGTGAAATAAAAATACACATACCCCCCAAAAACCTACAAAACAAAACAAATAACCCACAAAAACACCCCCAAAAAGAAAACGAACACAAATCCCCCAAACAAAACGAAAGACCCCAAAAGTCAAAACAAAACAAAGCAAAACAAAAGTAACTTCTACAGAGCTATAGTATTGCGAAACATGGTCAATATACAAAAGCCATGCAAAGAAAATGAATGAATTTCACATGGGTTGTCGGAAAACTGATGAGGACATGTTGGCAGGATATGATCCAAGATATTGAAGTGAGCCTATCTTCCATATATCCACACTCTGCTAATAAAATGACAGCTAATATAGGTGTACCATGTTAACTGGATGTCAGAGGAGCAACTACCAAAGAAGGTCTTCTACGTACGAGATTCCAGAGGGAGAGCGATTTCAGCAATGTCATAATGAAACGTTTCGAATACTCCGTGAAGTCATCTTTTAAAACTTATCATCATCCATGTGTTTTGAGATGTCGCACATAATCAGTTTGCCTGGCACAGTCTAGTCGATACTGGAACTTCATACAGACTATGAACTGAGGAGATTTGAGGATCAGATGGTGGTAGGGGACAACTTCAATCTTGGAACTGCAGCAACCTAAAGAGGCCTTTCTTGTCGAATGTTCCATTGACTGCTACAAGGACACATGGACCTCCACAGCCACTCACGTACTCACATTAACCAAGATAGTTGACCATTTAATGTCATATTCCAATTCGAAGGACGAACAGCAACGCCGTAGCGTTTGTTACACTTACGCATATTAGTGACTATATGATGTCAATTAAAAGCAAAGTTTCATAAATGTTAAAATGAAGAAATAGACAATACCCATATCAAGATATAACCTTCCAAAAAAATGTATATAGATAGAGCCTTGCAGATAAATGCGAACAAATACAGCATTCCAAATAAATGTAAACATGAAGTATAATAGGACAGAATGTGGCTGAAAAATATATTGAAAGTAAAGAACACAAAATCCTTAAAATATCTTCCCTTTCTTTATCACTAAGTATATGTATTAAAGGTTTAAATAATTGAGCAATGCATTTAAGTTTAAAATTCACATGTAAATAAAATTTACTTGATGAAGGAATCTGGACAAATGCTACATCAAATACAAATATCAAAATCTAAGGCATACACCCAAACGAAGGTAAACAACGAACGTGCAAACAAACTAATATATAAATTAATTGTTATGCGGCAGAGCGGAATTAGTTAATACGTGAATGGAATGGAGTAGATTTATCAGACAATATTGGGTGATATGTTACAAAAGAAGCCACTTAACCTTTTCATTAGGTGTGGCGTAATTTAAAGAAAATATTTTTTCTTGCGATCCAAAGAGAAATTGTAGCCAAGATGCAGAGTAGTGGTATTAGGTTTCACAGCTAAACATTTTAAAATTTGAATCAGATGGTACACATACTGTATAGAAAATGTCAATTAGTTTTGCTGAAGTCAATGATAAATACAGCAAGAACTTATCTATTAATATATATATATATATATATATATATATATATATATATATATATATATATATATATATATATATATATATATATATATATATTCTTCTAGTCCTAAATCTAGTGCCAGTCTTACAATATGAACACAGTTCTTGAATGTTTGCATTAAATTTCCATGTTGATAAAGATCTACTGAAGCTATGACAATACTGAAAAGTAATACAGATTTCACTTTCTCAGAGATTTTGCTTTAGGATCAAATAACAGCTATGACATAAATTTTGTTTTCAAGGATGGTGAATTTTATATTTGCTGCTTGTTACATTCGGGTTCAAAGGACACACAAACACCAAGTAAGGGTCCAACAACTTGATATAAAATAAAGATTAAGCCAAAACTAGTGTTGCTTACAGTACCAAGCCCGATATTAAACTGTCTGATCTCCCACTCTGTTCTTGTATTTTGTAAGGCTTAGAGTTCAGGAATTTTTTAATTAACATCTACAGCAATCAGAAGAAAACCAACAGACCTGATGACAATCTCTGGTAACAAATATACAGAATGCTAGGATTAATGTTCTGGCTGACTGTCTCTACTTAAGAGATAGAATCTGAAGCAGGCACAGAATGAAGTCATGCTAATAACACATCCATTTTCAAGAGGAAACTTTATGTTTTGATACGATATTTTTGAAACAAAGTATTTGGTTGGCTTGGTACGTCAATAAAATTATGACACTTGTATCAAACGTATATTATTACAAAAATGCATAAAACTTAGTCACTACTATTCAGTTTTGTAAGTCATGAATTTGATCAATGACCATCCAAAATAGTGCAGATTCAACAAATTGGTTACCGTATGTATCCACATAAATTTCTTATGAATTTAAGATCAGAAAACACTAAGGTTGGATACTTCTAGAGATCCTGAGCTATTCCGGTAGATTCCTCAACGCCTTTGATGTGGAATAAACACGCCAGTATTGTTTGCCTTTAATTATTACCTACTTCAGTTATATGCGTGATAATCCATCTGCATGTCGTTTACCACTCCTATGCTTTGTAATGAAGTTATGAAGCTGGAGTACCAAACACCATCTAAATAGACTCTGATTCTTGCTTTGCATTTGACTCAACCATGTTAAAGGAATGTGGACAGTCACGATTTCAAATGCTGTCTCTGACAGGTAATACTTTAACGAATCAATCGCCCACACGATCGCAAGACATTCCTTCTCGATAGCTGCATATTTCTGCTCTCGTTTACGAAGTTTCCGACTTAGAGCACCGCATGTCTTCACCATTCATTGTCTGGCTTAGCACAGCACCAATTGCTGTGTCACTGACATCTGTCTGAACGATGAATTCCCTGCTAAACTCCGGTGCAATAAGGACTGGAGCCTTAGTAAAAGCACCCTTTAGCTTCTTGAAGGGTCGGACGGCGTCTTCTGTCCATACAAGTATATTTAATCTTCCTTTCTGTGTCATGGAGGTTAATGGTACTGCTACTTCAGCGAAGTTCTTAATGAATTGTCTGTAGTGGGTAATGGAAACTCACGCATTGCCTTAATTTTATTGCCGTCCGTCTTAAGTTTTCCTCTCCCAATGATATGCCTGAGGCATTCGATTTCAGTTGCTTAAAACTCGCACTTTGGCGTCTTTATTATAATGCCATCTTCCTGTATACGTTGCAGCCAGGCACGCATATATTTTTTATGTTTCGGACCATGTATTGCTTGACACAATGATGTTGTCAAAATATGCTGTGACATATGTAGTCCAGACACCAATAAGTCGATGAGTCCGGCGAAACTGGCGGGTGCCGTGTTCATACCGAACGGCATAACGTTAAATTCATAGAGCCCGAACGGAGTAACAAATGCAGACTTTTGCATCGATTCTTCAGCGAGAGGAACTTGCCAGTAACCCTTAATTGGATCTATCTGACTCAAGTAGCTTCCATGACCAATCTTTGCAAATAGTTCTTCCATTCGTGGGACAAGATACGCGTCGAATAAGTTGATATAATTAAGCTTGCTGTAATCTACACAAAGCGGAATAATTCCATCTTTCTTGTCAACTTATAAACAAGGCGAACTCCATGTACTGATTGAGGGCCGAACGAGGCCTTGCTCCAGTATTCATTCCAGCATTGCTTTCGCCTATTTCCTTTGCGCGAAAGGTATTCTATATGGCCGTTGTTTAAGGGTGTCTCTGAAGTTTCTTCATACTGTGAGTTAAGATGTTTGCTCAACCAGGTCTTGTTGTTATAACATCCTGAAATTCTTTGCAGAGATTTCTAATATCTTCTCGTTGCTTCTTTAAAGTTTACCCCAGCTTAACGCCAACGTCACCTTCGCCTGCTCTCGGAGGAAAATCAACTTGAACACCATCGTTCTAGTCTCACTGCGATGGCAGCAGCACAGCATGCTTGTATCCACGCAGTAGGTTTTCATGATAGGTTACCGTACCTCGCCTACCGGGTACAGATACCTACTACTTGACAACGTTTACCTTTCGGACAACACGATACGATTCCTTCCATTGTTCATGTATCTTGGATGAACTTGATGGCAAGATAATAAAAACTTCATTCCCTGGACTAAAGTCTCTTGATTTTGTGTGAC